TGGATGCTTACCTGTATCTTTTATCTTGCCCTTTAAAAAAGGACAAACTGGTAAACATAAGTGAGTGTTTCCCTGAGTTCTGTGAGTCGCTCTAGCAAATTAATCAGGAGGGGGTTGTGGGAACCTCAGGTTTATAGTTGACAGGTCAGAAGCACAGGGAACAACCTGGACATGAAGTAGAGGGCAGTCTTGTGAGAATGAACCCTTATCCTGTGGGGTCAGACGCTAACTCTAAGTAGAGTGTCAGAAGTGAGTTGAATTGTATGTAGGACACCTAGCTGGTGTCACAGAACATTCCTTGCTGGGGAAAAACACATGCACTTCTGGTGTCAGAAGTATTGTGATTGTGGTAGTCACATCGGAGGAAAGGAGACACACAGGAGAAAAGCTGAGTGTTTCCAGCTTAGGCTGGTGTAATTCCATAGGCCCCACACTAAGTAGCATCACTATATGTAACTGCTATGTATATATCTTCGTTAGATAAGTCAATCCATGGAATAGTCAATGTTTTATAACAAATTTTCTCAGTATTTTTCCACTATTGTTGGTCTCAGGGTCCATTCTTTAAGAATATAGGATAATTAATTATTAATAAACTGTGATGAAATTTTCCCACATTGCCTTGATGAATTCTGAATCTTACGCTGATGCGTTTAAATAAGCAAACCCAGATACGATTTTTCTCTTTGAAAGGATAAAGGTGGAATGGGAAAATTGTTACATGCCAGAAATTCAGAGATACTCCCTATTGAAGAAAAAATGAAAACTCTCATCTAGGCTTACTGTTCTGTCTTAAATCATTTAATTTTCAAGTAATATCCTTTAAATTAAAGAAGTATACATCACACAATTTACATGTTTAGTCAGGAATTATGCTGAAAGTTCATTAAATCACATCTAGGGAATTTAAGTGAACTCAAGTAAGTAAATTAAGTGCTGAGTTAATTAAGTTGTTAATTAGTTAATTAACTGTTATAGTTTTAAGTGATGCCATTAACAAACTGACATAAATTTCAATTTTACTTTCCTATATTTAGCAGGCCTTCATGGAACTGTAAAAGCTTGAGGGCCTAATTCTTTCCACAGAGTTTTGAACCAAATACTAACATATTTATAATAAGATTTTTATTATTTAGGGTTGAAGGCATTTTAAAACAATTTGTCTAATTGCTTTTTTTTTTTTTTTGCTTTTGCAAATCATAAGATACTCTCTTTATTTGCTTTTTCTTCTATAAAATAGACTAAGTGAAATAAAGATGAAAATATAGGGCATACCCAGTTTGGTGTATGCCACCACATTTTTTTAAAAAAGTGAGCTCTGTGGTCAATGTGGGGCTTGAACTCATGACCCAAGATCAAGAGTTGCATGCTCTCCCAACTAAGCCAGCTAGGTCCCCCATATTGCTTTTTGCTAGGTTTTGGGGCCTGAAGGTTTCAGAAAGGTAGATTCCAGTTATGTGCTATAAAATAAACCACCCCAAAACTTGGTGGCTTAACATAAGAACAGTCATCTGTATAGTCCACACATCTGCCAGTTGGGCAGGGCTGCATGGGGACAGCTCCTCTGTCCTGCCAAGGCTAGGGTTGTCCATTTCCAAGAAGGCTCATTCACATGGCTAGCAAGCTGGTGCTGGCTTCCTGCTGGGAGCTCAGCAAGGGCTGTCTCCTGGAGCCTTGGTTCCTCTCCTCATGGGTCCCACCCCAGGGTTGTTTGGGCTTCATCACAGCATAGGGGCTGGCTTCGAAGAGTGAATTGTATGAGGCCTTGACAGAGGTCTTCTTATGACCTCAGAAATCCCAGAACATCATTTCTGCGGTATTATGTTGGTCAGCCCACATTCAAGGAGAAGGGGATTACTCCATCTTTCACTGGGAAAAGTACCAAAGACATAAAGGACGAATTCAGTTCAGTAACTTAAGGAGGATGTGTAAACTCACATAGTAGTTTTTGGATCCTGAAAAAGGTGGAGATTTAAAAATGTTCAGGGGCACCCGGCTGGCTCAATTGGTAGAGCACGCAACTCTTGATCTTGCGGTTGTAAATTTAAGCCACACTGGGTGTGGAGCCTGCTTTAAAAAAAAGGAACTTTAGGGGAAGTAGGTGGGGGATGGGTTAAAAATGAGTTGGGGATTAAGGAGTATGCTTGTTGTGATGAACCCCAGGTGTTATATGGAAGTGTTGAATCACTATATTGTACACCTGAAACCAATATTATACTGTGTATTAACTAACTGGAATTTAAATAAAAACTTAAGAAAATAAAATTCTGTTTCCATCTTTAAAAAAATAATAGCGGTATCTGGGTAGCACAGTTGGTTAAGTGTCTGAGTCTTTTTTTTTTTTTTTTGGCTCAGTCATGATCTCAGCATCATGGGGTGGAGCCCCACATTGGGCTCCACACTCAGTGCGGAGTCTGCTGATGACTCTCTCTCCCTCCCCTCCCCCTCCTGCCTCTCCCCTCCATATTCTCTCTCTCTAAAATAAACAAATAAATCTCTCTCTCTTTTTTTCCAAAGATTTTATTTATTTATTTGACAGAGAGAGATCACAAGTAGGCAGAGGGAGAGGGGGAAGCAGGCTCCCTGTTGAACAGAGAGCCTGACATGGGGCCCGATCCCAGGACACCAAGACCATGACCCGAGCTGAAGGCAGAGGCTTAACACACTGAGCTACCCAGGTGCCCCTAAACAAATAAATCTTAAAAAAAATAATAAAACTATAAAATTTTTCCTCAGTTAGGGCTACCACACAATTAGCTGAACATTATGAGCAACACCATGAGCAGATAATGTAGTAGAAGGCATAGTATTTCTGGACAGAATGTCTGGGTTTTGGTTTCGATTCTATTGTTCTAGCTGAGAGATTTTAAGAAAATTGTTTACTCTAAGACTCTGTTTTCTGGTGTTTAAAAGAAGGATAAAAATATTGGCACTATTGGTGTACATCCCGGGACAGGTGAGAAGCCTAAATGGGTTACTGTATAGAAAGAATGTATTTTAGGTGGAAAAACAAATTATATATGTATTACTGGACATTCTTACTGCCAGAATATACCTATTATATTATCTTCCTTAAACATATCTGTTGCTAATTAGTTTATACTGCATTTTTATTTATTTGTGTATCAATAACCCAGAATTCTTGCCCTACTGTGTTCATTGGGAATTAAGATTGCATGACCTCAGGCAATTTGCTTATACATTGGGAGGATGCGATTCTTGTAACCAGGAAAGTAAGAGAAAGGGCATTTCCCCACCATTGGAAGTTTGGATGCTGGGACATGTGGAGTTGGGGACATATAGGCACCTTATCTAATATGGAAGTAATACCTGAAAGAGTGGTGCTAGATTGGGGCTCATGTGAGTTTCTCTATCCATCAGACTATCAATCTGGGAGCATGATCCATGGCACAAAAGGGTGTCAGTTGTTGCTAAGTGGTTGGGATTGGTGGTGATGACCATGGTTCTGGCCCAACAGAAGCTAAAATGATTTCAACTGGTCCCACTGAGGGTTTGTCATTAGTGACAATGCCAGGCAATTGGGCATCTGAGAGAAGCAAGCATTAGGGATGAAGAAAGTAGAAGGAATTGATTAAAACTCCCCTAAAGGATTATGGTTGGAGATGCTTGATGAACTGCACTTTGATACCTAAAAAGAGAGTGTGAAACAATCCAGTGTCTTCCTCATGAAGGCAAAACTAAGCAGAGTGTCTGAGCCAGCTACAGGGAAGGAATGTGCCTGTGGGTTGGGGCTTGTTCAAGCATTAGGTTAGCAGACTTAAGGAAGACAGAGACATTCCTCTAAAATTTCTCCAGGCCTTTCTTTTACACCTTGATCAGTGTTGTGCATCTCATCTCCTTTGCTAGGCATGACCTCCTTTAGGGCAGTCCCCCCCACCAAAATTAAGTGCTTATAAAATATTTAGTGAATTATATTTCCAAATGAGTCTAAGATACATTGTAGCAAATGTTGGATTGGATACTGAAGAAGAGACCTGATTGCAGACTTAAAATAAGTATTGGCTTCCTTGAAGACTAGAAAAGAGAAAGTGGAGACATACCCATCCTGGGTGGTCCAGTCAGCTACTTTTTGCTGCCAGGCTAGAGCATCTAGTGCTCTCAGATGCAACTGATTGGCAAAAACTGGGAAGATGGGCTTGACTTCTAAAAGCTTCTGAAAGCTCACAACCACAGAATTGGGCGTGCACAATATGTACTTGGTAGAAGTGGAATTCTCCTCTTGGCAGCTCCCACACGAACTGGAGATGGCACCCAAGACTAATGTCCTGCATGGTGTGTGGGTAGAAATGGATACAGAGAGTGAGTAAAGCAAATATTCTACATGGCGCCTAAAATGTATCTGTAGCAGCTTTTCTCAAGTAGGAGGTAAGTAAATGCAAAACAATATACAGTAAATTCCCTCTTCCCTGGACAGTCAGGACGTAAGTTGTTTATCATATCATCAGGTTTTTAGAATGTCCTGCAAGGACTATATTTTATGGGAAGCACTGTTGATTGTCTATTCAATATCTAGTCTTTCTCTCTTCCTCTGTAGTTGTTGGATCTGGCCACGTGCCTAGCTGTAAAATGATATTTTATTCATAGATAGATAAGGACACAAATATTAAGTATGCAGAGGTCACTCGATGGGACTTTCCAAGGACCTTTTTCTGAAGGTGCAGAGTTGGCCAGAAAGCACAACCTTTGTGCCAATTCCTTCCTTTTCTCTTCATCCTGCCTAGATTACTGGAGTTGTACCAGCCATCTTGGGACTGTGAGGCAAACTTGAGGATGGAAATCACAGTTAAGTTATTGAAGCAGAAAGGAAGAGCCTGTGCTCTTGATGACCATGGGGTGGCCCTTCCAGCTCTAGACTATCCACTGTTATGTTTGGTTTCTGTTAATGGAGGCCAAGAGAAGTTCTTTCTTCAGGATATTGAATGCAATAAAATTATTTAAATAATATAGAGATAATGAACTTATTTATTTTTATTTTTTTGGCTGGATACAGTATACTTTATTGATGGTACATGACAAGGTAGGGCTCCCCAAGCCCCTCCCCTTCTTTAGGGGGTCTGGGATGGAAATAGTGGAGGTTGGGAGATTCTCAGTGTTTTGGGGGGTAAGTTAGGGCAGGGATTCCCCAGCAGCTGAGGGCCTCTCTCTTCCTCTTGCTCTGGCTGGGGCTGGTGGTTCAGGGGGCTCTTACTCCTTGGAGGCCATGTGGACCATAAGGTCCACCACCTGGTTGCTGTAGCCAAATTCATTGTCATACCAGGAAATGAGCTTGACAAAGTGGTCACTGAGAGCAATGCCAGCCCCAGCATCGAAGGTAGAGTAGTGGGTGTCACTGTTGAAGTCGCAGGAGACAACCTGGTCCTCAGTGTACCCCAGGATGCCCTTAAGAGGGCCCTCTGATGCCTGCTTCACCACCTTCTTGATGTCATCATATTTGGCAGCTTTCTCCAGGCGGCAGGTCAGATCCACAACAGACACGTTGGGGGTGGGGACACGGAAGGCCATGCCAGTGAGCTTCCCATTCAGCTCAGGGATGACCTTGCCTACAGCCTTGGCCGCACCAGTGGAAGCTGGGATGATGTTCTGGGCAGCCCCTCGGCCATCACGCCACAGCTTCCCAGAGGGGCCGTACACAGTCTTCTGGGTGGCAGTGATGGCATGGACGGTGGTCATGAGTCCCTCCACAATGCCGAAGTTGTCATGGATGACCTTGGCCAGAGGAGCCAAGCAGTTGGTGGTGCAGGAGGCATTGCTGACAATCTTGAGGGAGTTGTCATACTTCTCATGGTTCACACCCATCACGAACATGGGGGCGTCAGCAGAAGGAGCGGAGATGATGACCCTCTTGGCCCCGCCCTTCAAGTGAGCCCCAGCCTTCTCCATGGTGGTGAAGACCCCAGTGGACTCCACAACATACTCAGCACCAGCATCGCCCCATTTGATGTTGGTGGGATCTCGCTCCTGGAAGATGGAGATGGACTTCCCATTGATGACAAGCTTCCCGTTCTCAGCCTTGACTGTGCCGTGGAATTTACCGTGGGTAGAATCATACTGGAACATGTAGACCATGTAGTTGAGATCAATGAAAGGGTCATTGATGGCGACAATATCCACTTTACCAGAGTTAAAAGCAGCCCTGGTGACCAGGCGCCCAATACGGCCAAATCCGTTCACTCCGACCTTCACCATCATGTCTCGGGCACGCGGCTGGCACTGCACCTGAAGATGTGGCTGTCTGTCGAACGGGAAAGAGCAGAGAGCCTGAACTTATTTTTTGTATATTTTTAACCTTTCTTTGTTCCAGAAATGATTAAAGCTGGATTACAAGGATTCCTAAATTCCAGGATAGTACAAACTAATGTCAAAATACCAAAGGAAAAAGAAAGTGAATCAACAAGAAGTTCCTGAACATACTTTAATCTTTTGTCTCCCTTCATTTTATAATTCAAAATTACATCAGGATCTTTTTTTAAAAAGATTGATTTTTTTATTTGAGAGAGATAGAGGATGTACATGTGTGAGTGGGGGGAAGACAGAGGGAGAGAATCTCCAAGCAGGCTCTCTGCTGAACACGGAGCCCAACACAGGGTTCGATCCCATCATCCATGAGATTATGACCCGAGCTGAAGCCAAGAGTTGGTCTCAACCGACCGAGCCACCCAGACACCCCTCAAGTTATAACAGGCTCTTTAATGACTTATGGTCATCATTATGGACATCATATGTTGGAAATTCTGGTTAGTAGAGAGTCCTGTTTAATTGAATGCCACTAGGGAGATCTCAGGGTCACGTAACAGAGACTTCTAACTGGCCATCAATGGCTCGTCTCATGACAGTAACTAATGCTCTCCAGTTCTCTGTAACACATATCCGTGTATGCTCCCGATAGCTGGTTGAGTAGTATCCTGTCCAGTAAACAGTTGTGGTTCTTCCCCAAATCTCTCTGCACCAGCTGTACTGGTTACAGTAATTATATAATTTAATGAAATATTATGTGGTTTGGTAACCTATAAGGGGGAAAGAAAAGAGTTGTTACTCTGAAAGCTAAGTCCAATGCTTGGAAAGACTATAGAGCTGAATTTTCCATAAAATTTTAACTTTTGGGATTAAGTGTGGGGAAGCCATTTTTTACTGGTGGGAAAAAAAAAAATCAGTCAAAAGTCTTCTGATTACTTTCATTCTTTAAGCAGTAATGCAGTATGAAAAAAAAAAAAAATCCATGGAGTGCTCCAAAGAGTATACCCAGAAGCAAAAAAAGACAGCCCTACATCCAAAATTGGTTAATACACATGGATTTAAGTGTTTTAATAGAAAAGAAAGTGTTTAAGGTGTATATGTATGTAATAATTCTCCATTCTGTCAGGCATGTTATATTATGTTACTCTGTTAGGATGGATAAGAGTACTTCTGGTGCTTGTACAGAATTCACATAGTACGGCCATGTTAAATAAAGGAATAAAAATCCAGGGGGATTAAGAAGTGATTAAATGTACCAGGTGGCAAATAAGTGATGCTAGCCCTACAATTGCTATGTTATCCTGTGCTCTTGGGGGAAGACATTACTAATCAATCATGGTCTTCTGTAATCAATCACTAATCAAGTCAATCTTTGAGTGTCGAACACCAAGAAGTTACTACCAGTTAATCAGTTGGCTCCTGACATTGAATCTGTCAACCATGGCTTAGAGTAGAATAGTGCAGTAGGCGCAGATCATGGATTGGCATGTCACTTGAGGCTATGCAGGTTGGAAGTGTGTCAGAAAGATATGCCAGGGGGATCTGGGTGAACATCCGCCATTCATAGATTGCTGGGATCCATCTGGCCAGCCTCCTTCCTCTAGGCAGTGTCCCTTTCTTCTTCATCCCATCAGTGTTTCTTTCAGAACGGCAGTCTAGATGGAGATCTTGTCAAAGAGAGGGCAAGTTGTGTTGGGATGTGCCTTAGCATCACTGTGGCTGAGTTATGCCTAGGCAGCTTGGTGTGCTAGCTTGACCCTGGCAACAGAATGTCCAGATTTGACGCTGGTGTCACCATGTCCTAGCTCTGACCAAGGCAAGTTAACCTCTTCAAGTTTCTGTTATCAGTAGTGGGTTTATAAGGGTTAAATGTAATAATGCATGGGAGGTATAAAAGACTGGTTCCAGCATTTTCACACCCTCTACAGCAGGGTTTTCTAAGCATGAGTTCATGAGTTCTTTGAAATCCTATGCTTGGTATGCTCAGGATCCATACGTTCATCAAATTCTCAAAGGAGTCTGGAACGAAAACAAAAGCAAACCAAAACAAACAAGAAATACCTAAAGCTTTCTTCTTTAGAGCCATGCTTAACAAATTTTAATGAATCCCCTGAAGATCTCTTAAAATGCCAATTCTAATTTAGTATGTTCCGAGGGGTGCCTGTGGCTGTGTATTGTTGACAACCTCCCAGTTGATGGTGATGCTGCTGACGCATGGACCACACTTTAAGTACCGAAGATCTATTTCCTTCTTCTGCAGAGAGGACTATAACATGATTATTAAAAGCATGAGTTCTGGACTTAGCATGGGTATGCTTTCGGCCTTGACCTTCACTAATTCTATAACCTTGGTCAAGCTGCTGAACATCTTTCTCTCTGCCCCAGTTTCTTCAACTGTAATACGGGGGAAATAATAGTACTTCCACAATAGGGTTGATATGAGGATTAAATGATATAGTTTACAACAGTGCCTAAAACGCAGTATGTGTTGTTATTGGTTTATTTACCACTTTGGGAGTGCACTCTCTGTTGCCGCCACCACATTCTTAGCTGTCTCAGACGACATAGCATTCTCTGGATTGTGTCATGCCCGAAGTAATGTCTCTTACCAATGACATAGGAGTCAAATAAAATCGTGAAACATAAAATATCCCTCTCTTGGGGAGATAGACATAACAGGAAACACTTGCTTAGGTCACTTTCTTACAAGCTCATTTGATCACAGAATTCAGAACAGCTCTTTCCATCTAACTCCTAATTCACTACGCATAAGACGGCATACCATAAAGTCATAGTCACGGGAGGGTTTTTCTGAAGAGTGGCAGATGAAAAGGGTTGCTCTGCAGTGTAGGTGCTGTTGCACCAGAGAGAGACCTGGCTTCTCTAGGTCATCTGCAGAGGAGAAGCTTTGCATCTGTACCACCCACCAGCTGAGTACCCACCCCAGTGCACATGCCTCCGTGAGGGCCCGGGGACTCCAGTGCTTCACTCTGTCCTGTTTTTGCCTCTGCCACATGCATGCAGGCCTTTGGGCCACACATGAACAAGTGCCACCGAGACAGGAGGGGTTCGGATGAGGAAGACTTTCTCATCCAGTGCTTTACTCACACCATAATTTTCCTCCTCCTGTCAGTGTGCTGGCTTTGGCACCTGATTCTCTTCTACCAGAACACGTAGAGACAGTGATTCCTCTCTCTAACCCTCCCTGCCTTTTGGTTCGAGATTTTTGTTCTTTCTTTTAATTTATTTATCTATTTTTAAAGATTTTATTTATTTGTCAGAGAGAGAGGAGAGCACACACAAACGGGGGGAGCAGCAGGCAGAGGGAGAAGCAGACTCCCCACTGAGCAGGGAGCCTGACGGGACTTGATCCCAGCAGGCTGGGATCATGAGCTGATTTGAAGGCAGACACTTAATGAACTGAGCCCCCCAGGCATCCCTAGATTTTTGTTCTTTAAAGGAAATAAAAGTTTGTGGCTAAAAAAATGAAGATAGTATCTATTCTTTTTCCTCTTTTAAAAACTGAGTCCGAGGATATTCAGATTGAAAGAATTGATTATGATTACATTTTATGATTTAACTAGTACAGAAATTTTATTTTTTATTTTTATTTAAAAAAAATTTTTTTTAGAGAGCTTGTTTGGGGCGGGGGGAGGGGCAGAGTGAGAGGGAGAGAGACTCCTCAAACAGGTTCCACACTCAACATGGGGCCTGATGTGGGGTTCGGTCCCACAGCCTGAAGATCATGACCTGAAAATCAAGAGTCTGACGCTTGGGGCACCTGGGTGGCTCAGTGGGTTGGGTCTCTGCCTTCAGCTTGGGTCATGATCTCGGGGTTCTGGGATCGAGCCCTGCATCGGGCTCTCTGCTCAGCAGGGAGCCTGCTTCCCCCCCCCCAACCCCCGCCTGCCTCTCTGCCTACTTGTGATTGCTCTTTCTCTCTCTCTGTCAAATAAATAAATAAATAAATAAATAAATAAAATCTTAAAAAAAAAAAAAAGTCTGACGCTTAAACAACTGAGCCACCCAGGCACCCTCAGAACTTTTTTTGTAAGTTAACTTTATTGACATACAACTTATAATAAAAAATGCATTCACTTAAAAATGCATAATTCAGTGAGTTTTGACAAACGCATGTGACTGTGTAACCAGTGGTACAATCAAGATATAGAACATTTCCATCACCCCAGATAGTTTGCTTATGTCCATTTGAAGTTTCTCCTGCTCCAGGTAACCAAACTGGTTTGATTTCTGTCATCACTGATGCACCTTTTCTGGAAATAGGACTTTCACGTAAATGGAATCCTATGAATGCACTATTTTCTTTCTGGCTTTTTTCGCTCATCATAATGTTTTGGAGAGTCATTATTGTTATTGTATGTATCACTACTATCGATAGCAGAACTTTTCGTTTTCTTTTTAAAAAACCTTTCTGTTAACTCTGCTAAAATGTCAACCATTATGCATACATCACAAATTAATAATATATGTACCTTGAAATACATTTTTTTTTTAACATAAGGTCAAGTTTAGGAATATCACTTAGTGCTAGAATGTCTGAAGAGCTGTGACTGTTTTGCAGTTGTGAGGGCTGTGTGGCGTTGTGGATAGCCTGCGGTCACAGCACCAACCCTGTCACTGACTTTATGAATTTGAACAAGATCTGTCACCCATTGGGGCTCAGTTTGCCCATTTGTACTAGTCTGTTTTTAAATTTTAGCAATTAATTAACATATAGTGTATTATTGGTTTCAGAGGTAGAGTTTAGTGATTCATCAGCTGCATAGAACACCCAGTCTCATCACAACACGTGCCCTCCTTAATGCCCATCCCCTGGCCACCCCATCCCCCCATCATCTCCCCTCCAGCAGCCCTCAGTGTGCTCTCTAGAGTTGAAGAGTCTCTTGTGGCTTGTCTCCTTCTGATTTCGTCTTATTTTATTTTTCCCTTCCTTCCCCTCTGTTCATCTGTTTTGTTTCTTAAATTCCACATATGAGTGAAATCCTATGGCATTTGTCTTT